GTGTAAGTGTATTAATATTTTATCTTGTTTGAGGACTCGTTCAAGTACACAAATGCCCTGTTTCAATAATTCTGCCTGTGATTGTATCATATGATATGTCAAACTTCTAAGGAAAACATGATAATTGCAATAAGGAAAGCAGTGAACTCCCTCAAAGTAAAAAAGAACAATTAGAGAGAGAGAGAGAAAAATCAACTCTAAACATTTGCACATTTTCATTTTGAAAACTAGTGTCTAATGAAATACTCAATCCTAGAAAATTGAGCTAATCAGAATAGAAATTTGAGTCAGTAGTCTCCAGTGAGTGAATCCTGTGCAGTATGTGTTAGCAGACAGACTGTTCTCATGATTATGATAAGCAACAAGCCCTCTAACTAAATATTTAAATTCATTACCCCTGGCTGTTGGGTTCAGGCTCCGGGGTAGGGCTAAGTTGACCACATAATGTAAATGCAGTGTCATTTTTAGCTCACCTGAGCTGAAAGATCAAGTGAGCTTTTCTGATCATATTTTAGTCCGTCTGTCCATCCGTCTGTAAACTTTTCACATTTTCGACTTCTTCTCTGGAACCACAAAGCATCCTTGGGTAAAGGGGATTTAAGTTTGTTCAAATGAAGGGCCATGCCCTCATTTAAGGGGAGATAATTCAGAAATACTGAAAATTTGGTGGCATGTTTTAAAAATCTTCTCAAGAACCACTGGGCCAAAAAAGATGAAACTTATAGGATATGTTCTTTACATAGTGCAGATTCAAGTTTGTTCAAATGATGACCCTTGGGGGTAGGATGGGGCCACAATGGGGGATCAAATTTTTACATAGGAATATATAGGAAAAAATCTTTAAAAATTTTCTTCTTCGAACAGCAAAGCCATGTTTAGTCATATTGATATGGAAGCACATCAGGTAGTGAAAATTCAAGTTTGTTCAAATCATGACCCATGCTGGTAGGATAGGGTTACAATGGGCAATCAAATTATTACATAGGAATACATAGGAAAAACTTTTAGAAATCTTCTTCTTAAGAACAGCAGAGCTATGATTAGTCATATTTATATGGAAGCATCATCAGGTAGTGAAGATTCAAGTTTGTTCAAATCAATGACCCCCAGGAGTAGGGTGGGGCAACAAAGAGTGATCAAAGTTTTACATAGAAATATATAGGAAAAAAATATGCTGCTGAAGAACAAGAGGGGTCATAGTTACTCAGGTGAGTGTTGAAAGCTTCTTTAATGAGTGTAGACTTAATGATTGCATTCCCATAACTATTGTCTGCAGCCCTTTTTAGCTCACCTGAGCCGAAGGCTCAAGTGAGCTTTTCTGATCACATTTTGTCCGTCGTCCGTCCGTCCGTCTGTCCGTCTGTCTGTCCGTCTGTCTGTCCGTCCGTCTGTAAACTTTTCACATTTTTGACTTCTACTCAAGAACCACTGGGCCAATTTTGACCAAACTTGGTACAAAGCATCCTTGGGTAAAAGGGAATTTAAATTGTTAAAATGAAGGGCCAAGTCCACTCACAAGGGGAGATAATCAAGAGAAGACAAAAATAGGGTGGGGTCATTAAAAAATCTTCTTCTCAAGAACCACAGGGCCAGTAAAGCAGAAACTTATATGGAAGCATCCTGGGGTAGTGTAGATTCTAAATTGTTCAAATCATGACCCCTGGGGGTAGGGCGGGGCCACAATGTGGAATCAATGTTTTACATTGAAATATATAGGAAAAATCTTTAAAAATCTTCTTCTCAAGAACCACTGGGCCAGAAAAGCTGAAACTTATGTGGAAGCATCCTGGGATAGTGTAGATTCTAAATTGTAAAAATCATGACCCCCGGGGGTAAGGCGGGGCCATAATAGGGAATCCAAGTTTTACATTGAAATATATAGGAAAAATCTTTAAAAATCTTCTTCTCAAGAACCACTGGGCCAGAAAAGCTGAAACTTATGTGGAAGCATCCTGGGGTAGTGTAGATTCTAAATTGTTCAAATCATGACCCCCGGGGGTAGGGCGGGGCCACAATAGGGAATCCAAGTTTTACATTGAAATATATAGGAAAAATCTTTAAAAATCTTCTTCTCAAGAACCACTGGGCCAGAAAAACTGAAACTTATATGGAAGTACCCTGGGGTAGGGTAGATTCTAAATTATTCAAATCATGACCCCGGGGGGTAGGTCGGGGCCACAGTAGGGAATCCAAGTTTTACATTGAAATATATAAGAAAAATCTTAAAAAATCTTCTCAAGAACCACTGGGCCAGAAATACTGAAACTTATATGGAAGCATCCTGGGGTAGTTTAGATTCTAAATTGTTCAAATCATGACCCCCCGGGGGTAGGGCGGGGCCACAATAGGGAATCCAAGTTTTACATTGAAATATATAGGAAAAATCTTTAAAAATCTTCTTCTCAAGAACCACTGGGCCAGAAAAGCTGAAACTTATGTGGAAGCATCCTGGGGTAGTGTAGATTCTAAATTGTTCAAATCATGACCCCTGGTGGTAGGGCAGGGCCACAATAGGGAATCCAAGTTTTACATTCAAATATATATAGCAAAAATCTTTTAAAATCTTCCTCTCAAGAACCACTGGGCCAGAAAAGCTGAAACTTATGTGGAAGCATCCTGGGGTAGTGTAGATTTTAAATTGTAAAAATCATGACCCCCGGGGGTAGGGCGGGGCCACAATAGGGAATCCAAGTTTTACATTGAAATATATAGGAAAAATCTTTAAAAATCTTCTTCTCAAGAACCACAGGACCAGAAAAGCTGAAACTTATGTGGAAGCATCCTGGGGTAGTGTAGATTCTAAATTGTTCAAATCATGGCCCCTGGGGGGAGGAGGGGGCCACAATAGGTATTACAAGGGGGGAGTCTGGTAATGAACAGCATGGCCAAAGTTACTCAGGTGAGCGATGTGGCCCATGGGCCTCTTGTTAATAAATCTACCATGATTCTGATAATTTAAAAAACGATCCCAAATTGTGAACCTTTATGAGTAAAGATTAAAAGAATGGGTGGGTCTTAGCACAATTGAGGGATATGCATGTCTGAAGAATATACCTTATATGGTTGTTATTATTCCTCACAGAAGTGTGTTCTGAGTAAAATTGTCCAATCTGATGAATGAATGGTAAAATGTGCTGTTCTCCTGACATGTTTACTACAAACATGTGACTCTTGAATGGTAGTATGAGCAGAACCTTGCACCACAACACCTCTTATTACAAATCAGACTGGCCAACAAAAGCCTTTCATATCTGAGAAAATGTGTGGACACATCTATTCTATTATCATTGGCCAGGGAATGCACATAGAATTTGCATTCACTTATAGTTCAGCATGAGAACTCAGGCAATTGTCCACAAATTGCCATATATATACAAGGGCGTGGAGAAAACTAGAATTTTATCAAGTTGATAAAAATGTTTGTAAATATGAGAATAGAAATAGACAATGATGTACAAATTGTATTTAATCTGTGAAATCATGAATAAAAAATAAATGTGACTCGCTAAGATTTGGAAATTCCAAGCATAAATTCATAGTTCTTAACCCATGATGCAATTCAATTCATTTTTCTGATTGGTTTGTCTGTAAGTCAATTTGGCACCCCATTTAGCACATTCATGCCCTGCTTTATAATGGGAAGGGGTAGTTGGACTTTCAAATGTATTAATCACACCATATGAGTGCAGTGAATTACAAGTTTCTCCTTTCATATATAGATAGATTTTGATAAAATAGAGTGACCAATCCAAAGAAGGAAAATGTACCTAGGGTAGTTGCAATTCTGTATTTTAAGGGGTTCATAAGTAAGGCGGGGCCAAAAACACTGGAAATTGGATGAAAACAGTGTAACCCCCCCCCCCCCCCCCCCCCCCCCCCCCCGAAACAGATATATATATCTTTGGTAAAAGTGGCATTCCATGAGGGTAAACACCAAGGATTAAGTATGTGTAAAAATTAGTTTGAAATTTAGATTTTTTTTTTCAATCTACCAGGAGTCATTGTACATGTAGCACATCATTCGTTGTTCAAATCATGACCTTCAAAGTTAGGGTGGGGACATAATAGAGGATCAAAGTCTTACACCAGATTATTTCAAAAAAAATTTTTTCAAGAACAGCAGGGCATTATTACCAGTAGTCATATTAAGGATCCTCTCTACATTGCACACTAAAGAGTACAAGGAGAGGAACTACTAAGTCATTTTAGAACTTGTTTCCAATCCTTTTGATTTAATCAATAAAATATGTTCAAAACAGAGTTCTAATTTCATGGTATTTTTATGCAACTAGAGTGATCTGCCCTTAGATTCAAAACAAGCACGAATCCCCAGGTAGTTCAATTAAGTCATGATCCTGGGGATCATGGGCCACAATAACAAAATTTACATGGGAATATATGAGAAAAATACCTAAAGAAAAGCAGTTCCATGATTAGTCTTAATAGTATGCAAGCATTCTCATAAAGTGCAGATTCAAGTTTGTTCATATTATGGCATTGGTGATAAGGTTGGGCCATGACAGAGGATCATAGTTTTGTATCAGAAAATATAGAGGGGGGATTAGAATGTCCTTAATAACAAGAGAGCAATGATTAGCCATATTAATGTGCAAGCATTATCATGCACATTAAGTTTTGTACAAATCATGCAAAAAGGGTAGAGTGGAGCCATAATAGGAGATCAGAACGTTACATGGGGATTGATAGGGAAAATTTTAAAAAAAAAAAAAACCTTCTACTCAAGAACAGTAAGGCCATAATTAATAATATTATTATGCAAGCATTCTGAAGTTATGCAGATTATGACCTTTGAATTTGATTAATGTTTCAGTGTACTAAAAGAACATTCTAGATTATTTAATGCCCTGTTCACTCGGAGAGTTTAATTCAAACGTAAGTTACTGTGAATTAAATTTGATCCATATTCACACGGAGAAATTAATGCGAATTGGTTTAATTCGAATTAGTTTACTGCGCATTAAATTACTTCGCATTAGCTCCGTGTGAACGCTAAGCGAAGCTAATTCGAATTAAATTTTGATGCATGCGTAAGGGCAGAATTAAGTCACAGGCCACATGTCGATGGTCAAATATAGATACTTGTGCTATTTTTGAGTGGAAAACGAAGGAAAATTATGTTAATCACTAAAATGTGGACAGACACTATGACATTATGTCAAATGTATATCTGCTCTGCACAATATGATGTGATTTGTAAATGACGTCATAGTAGCCTCACTGAATAGCCTTGTTTGTAGAAATAAAATTATAATTCTCGTTAATTAACTTCGCATTAGCTGTCATGTGAACGCAATTCAATTCGCATTAGTTTCATTTTACTTCGCATTAATTTAATGCGAATTAAAATCTCCATGTGAACAGGGCATAAGACTTGTTTTACTTTGTATTGTAAATGTTATTATATGATTCCAGTCCCATGCCAGTTGCTACAGACTTCTTCCAGCAGAGTGTAACTTTGGAAGTTTAAGGGAAATCATGCTGCCTCCCAGCTGTTTGACTGTTCCAAGAATAAACATCAGCATGGACAAGATCCTGGGAATCAATGTCAGGACCCCTGAAGGTTCAATCTTAATGTTGTCAACTATTTTACTGTTGAGATACATTATAAAAAAAAGCTTCATAGTTATTACTTTGTGTATCTGTGCTAATTTTTTTTTCTGAACAACTCTTTCCAAAATCATAATGTTCAAATTAAGAATGTTGTCTTAGTTTTTCGTAAGAAGTGTTTCTGTATCAAGTTCTGTGAAAGAAGGGCAAAGAGGGAGAACATCTGACAAATTTTCTGCTACAAACTTCAGAGAGAAGGGTCACAAATGTTATTGGTTTCTAAGAATTACAGGTGACTCGGTACTTTGAAGTTCTATGTACCATAGAAAAACTCTGAGAGATCATGAGTTTGATGTTTCAAGAGTGTGGAATTGTTTTGGTAATTTGATTGGTTTTTAATTAGTAAAACCAAAAGTAATTTATTCTCATCCACAACAGTGTTGAAATTGTGCACATGTACTTAAACAATGACATTGCTTTGCATATTTAGGTTACCTGAGTCACTCAGGACCAAGAGAGGCCAATAGCACTAATAGTTTGTTTATAGGGCTGGGTATCGGTGGGGATTTTCGTATTGCGATATATTGCGATATTTGGAACTGTATTGCGATATGTATTGCAATATTTTTAATAACAGTTAAATGCTCTTTTCTTGTTTTATTAACCTCCATTTGTAAGCAGAGTGTATAAAAACTTTAATAAATATCTTACAACAAAAAAGTTGTAGTTGATTTCATTACAGTTTGGCAACGAAATGCAGCCAAACAACAGTAACCTCTACCGTATGGTACTATTTGGTACGATTGAAAACATTTCTGACATCTTAAATTTCATATTTTACTTTATAAACCTAAAGCCCAAGCATTTTGCCGGTATATCGGTACTGGAAAACCGTATCGCAATTCGATATTTTTTGTAAATGAATCACAATATATCATAATATCGATATTATTGCACAGCCCTATTTGTTTATAGTCTGCATGGTGATAGTGATAAATGTGGAAAAGATTAGAGTTGTTACTGTACTAGACTAATTATTTCGTTAATTCTGATCATCCTTTTTTCTTGCTTTTGGGCAACAAAGCTTCGTCTATCAGTTTATTTTATACTGATGGATCCTCTAAATTGTTGTATTATACTCAGGTGAAGAACTTAAAGGCCCTTGGGCCTCTTGTTATGTAAATATATAGGTTTGGCTATAAATAAATTAAAATAAATGGGTATTTTTATTTATCAATTAGTGTAAGAGGACATCTTGTTACTTTATTACTCCCAAGAAAATGGCATTGGAATTCCATTTAACCATGTTTATGTATTTTTTTACAAACATCATTATATAATTAATTAAATACTATTTCATAAGTATTTAAAAGATGAATTGTCATTGGCATAAATATTTATATAAATTGTGGCATATATGATATTCATTCGAATGTGTTGTATTTACACATAACTGTGAGAAGAAGTTAATAGCTACGGTCACGTGCTCTCGCAACATGCAACAAAATTAGTGTCTGGTCTTTTAATATTTAACTTTCATTGCATTTTTGAATTGCACAATTTTTTAAGTGCAGGTGATAATTAGTTGATAAGTATGGGTCTCTGTATTAACATCTGGGGCGTGTCCCCTGTCTATGCCTGGAGCCATTTCATTAATTGTCAGGTAAAGGTGTTGATGGGGCCAGCCTTGGGTACACAAAGCCATGTTGAGTAATTGAGGGTAAATTACAATAGAATATGCATTACAGAACTGCATTTTGGTTTTGATAAATCCCATCAAGGGTTTCAAGAGATTGAGAGTTCAAGAAATCAAAAGTAAATTTACCTACTAGTTATATAAGAGAAAAAAATCAGACTGGAGACTTGTTTGAGAGATCAGAGTAAGAATTCCAAGAGATAAATGTTTGAGCCACCAGGAGTCACCTGTACATATATCTTTCTAATCTTATCTGAAGGACCTAATTATATTTTACAGAAAGTAATGAAATAAATGTGAAAATTTATGTGTTCAGGTAATTTAAACTAAGTATGCAAGAAGAAATCTTTCCAGAAATATTCCACCATGGACTGATGTATTTATAGATTTTATTCAACATTAACAATTTAGTTTTCTGGCTGATATAACTTGCACACATATTGTTCTGTTATTCATTCAAACAATAAGATACTTAAATATGCATGTTTACAGTAGTAGATGCTGTTATATTCTGAATTCGAAGTTGGAACCCATCCTTGCAAAACGAGTAAATTTCCCTTGTATAATGTGGATATATTTTTTAAAATTTTTAAGTCTGAGTAGACTTAAAACTGTAGACTTTCTGCTCATCAAGAATTTTAGCAAAAAATCATTGTTTTATATTTAAGTAGTGTGCCATTAAATCTACAGGCGGTTAAGTAATCATATGTTCACATAAACTTCTGATTAATTTCACTTTATCATTTCAGATGATGATCTATAAAGTTGATTCAAGAGTATGTTTGAATGACTGTAACTATAAGGATAAATGTATTTCTTTCCAGAATCTGAGAAAATAGATAAATCCCAGAAAACGAAACCCAAAAAGGGCAGTCGAAATGGGACTTCTGAGGAGTCGGATACCTATCTTAGTAAGATCAATTTTTGATACATTTTAAGATAAGAAGTATTTTTTTTTTAATTTCATTTATCTGTTGATGTTAATTCTGGTTGAGAATGGTTATTTAATGGCTCAGAAATAAAAATATGACACAATTCTTAATTTATTTGAGGTGTATTGATTGAGACCATCTGTTTGAAAAAAAAAATCAATAAAGAAGGTGTGCTTTTCTTCTAGCTTAGAACATTGGAGACATTTCTATTATGTTTATTTTTTGTTTTTTTATCTGGAGTTGATTAAATGTTGAAATGAGTCAAGAGAAAGTAAGAAATCAGCAGAATATTAAACTTAATACACGCAACACACATAAGTCATAACTTGGAGAGGCTGTGATTTTACCACTGCCATCAATGTGCAAGTATATATTATTTTTTTTATTTTTAGCTCATTCAAGTTTGTTTAAATCATATTGGCTTCCAGGACTAGGATGGGGCCACAATAGAGAATAAAATTTAACATGGGAATATTTGGGCGAAAAAATCTTTATAATCTTTCCAAGAACAGCAAGGCTATGATGAGGCTCAATTGACTCTATTTGGTACAGGGCCCCATATCTTTTTAATTGGGAATTCAAATCAAAAATGTGACAAAATTTGATAATGTTAAGACTTTTACTATGTAGAAATGTTGATTAAAGAGTTAGATTGTTGACTTATTCCCTATTTACATCTTTATGAATCATTATAATCTCAAAATTCAAATCGTTTATTTATAAAAGTACTGAAAAATAAATTTGCTTGTCATTTGGGAATTTTTATCTGAATTTTTGGAAAAAAGGGTCAATTTTCTATTGGGACAGGGTCCTTTTACCGAACCTGGATGCAGTAGATATTAAGCCCTGCTTGATAAGTCATATAATGCACAAGCACCTTGAGAAGTGCAGATTCAAGTTTGTTCAAAGCACAGGAGGTAGGGTGGCCACATTAGAGTTTAACAAAATTAAAATCAATCTTTTAAAAAGTAGCAGGGCTTCACTAAAAGATATGTTATACAAACATTTGTAAGTTGTGTTAATGATTTAAGTTTTTAACTTTTCTGTAAGAAAAATCTCTAATTACCTCTGTTTGACTTCATGGCCTTTACCTAGAAGTTTGACTTTTTTATCAGAAATTTTAACTTTGGCCATAACTTTTGCTCCAGAAGAAACAGGGCTTTCATATTTTTTTTTCAAATATGCATTACCCGGGTACTTGTGTCAGACAAGACCTTTTGTGTTGTATTATGATATTTGACTTCGTGACCTTAATCTTGAAGTTTGATGCAGTTTTAAGAAACTTTAATCTTGGCTGTAAGTTTTATTAATTCAAAAATTTAAATCTTTTTTGTATGATGGACAAACAAGACAAGACACACAGACTAGACAATTACAATATGCTATAAATAGTTGCATCCCACCCATTAAGACACCAAAAGAAGGGGACCGCAATTCTTTGAATTTGCTTCTTGAAGACCTTCTATACACTAAATCAAAAATTTGTTTGGACATTGAGAAAAAATATAGAATATAAAGGTGTAAATATTGAGCTTATCTATATCATTTTCAACATAGGCTAGGGTACATGACATTTAGCCCCAAGAAAAATGTTGAAAGACAACAAAGTATTGCTGAACAGTGATCACTGTTATTTAGTTAAGTGGGGAAAATTTATGCAAATAGAGTGCTCAATTAATTTATCTTGACCTATTAAAATGTTAAGAATGTTTGAATTGATTTGGAATTGAGTGTCACACAGTAGATTTACATGAGTTTAAACTTAGAAATATATATCTTCTAGTTTAAAGAAGAAGAATTTTTAGGTGAAAATCTGCAGTGTTGTTTGTATGTTTACAGTAAAACCAGTTTTTGATGACTGTCCATCCAGTGGAGATTCCAAAAATGATGAGGAGGATCGTGAAAGAAAATCCCCTCGTGAGAAGGAGTACAAGGATAAGGATAAAGACCCTGATTGTGAGTAGGGTCAAGTCACAATTTCAGGCTTTAGTTTTGCTGCAGTTTTATTTTCACAGAAGGAGGGAACAGTGAAATCAATCTGGATTAAAAAAAATTAACACTGGTACAATCTTGTTTCCAGCTGCCCCAAACAACCTTTTTTATCTCTTGAGCCAACTGTACAAGATTCTGTTGTGAAGTGTGCTATCTATAGGCAGGCCTCTAAGTGACCTCTGATGAAATTTAGGGGCCAGCTGGCACCTTATCAAAAAAATTTAGTCGCCAATGCAAATATTTAGTCACCAGGCAATTTTTTTTTTAAGGCGCCAACTTTAAAAGTTAATGGTCATTAATATGGGGATCCATGACGCAACATGAAATTTTGTTCACACGCGTGCTTACTAAAAAAACAAAATGGTGACTAAGAAGACATATGTCCATTGCTAAAAATAATTTCCTCTTCTTTTGAATTTCTTTTTGCTTCTTCAGAAAAACGAAAATTGTTAAAAATGTTAAAAGTTTTGAGATTGCTAAAGTTGAATATTGCTAACAATTTATTCCTTTTCAGTGGTAATAGTCATCTTTCTAGGTATAATCACTAAAAATGTAAGGGTAAATTGCTAAATTTGTGTCTCACTAGAAATACACTGATATGGTATATTGCACTCTATGAGGTTTGGGCCCATCAAACATGATCAGTTGATTGGAGGGAGTGGGGGGGGGGGGGGCACTCTGGCCTTATTTATGGAATTTTATTACTTTATATACTGTACGTGTACATATATTTGTGTATTCAAAATTTAGCACAATCAGTGGGTATGGAGTTGTTAGCGAAATCATGAATTAGCGCTATACATGTCCGTGCCGTATATTGTATTTATAAATGATTTCTTAGCAGTATTCATGAATTAGCGCATCGTTGTCTGCGCCAAAGCCGTTAAATATGAAGCCTGCTTTTATAAGTACACATACAGTATTCAAATCATGTCTGGATCATAACTTGCATATTCTGATGCCTAGAACCATCAAACTATGTTCATTTGATGGATCTTGAGGGAAAGGTATGTAACAACCCAAAAGAAGATAACTTTATTCCATTGTAAGAACAAATGACAGGCTGCTATTGACTATGAATAGGCATAAATACATATGTAGATATGTATGGTATAGTAAGCTTCCTTTGAATGTGCTGTAATAGCAAAATTAGAGATTGTCCCTAACTGATGTAATGTACTGTGTTTCAGTGGAAGTTTTCCATGTGTATGACGGGGACAATTCTTTAAAGGAGAAGCGGTATCGGACAGTATCTGTTCCAAAGAATGCTTCTTTTCAAAGTATACTGGTGAGTTTATGTGGTTAAGAAAGAATCATGTATATAAACAGTTACTGTGAGGTTATAACGACATGGATGTCCTCTAGTTGTTAAAAGAGAAAATGCAGAATTGATCAAGGACAGTCATTCCTGAGGTTTAATAAGATGCTAAAGACATCCATCAAATTAATGCCAATTATGCTATATTAGATACTGTAATCTGATACTGACAATGTGTGGATTTTTCATGTCAGTAACTTCTTTATCAACATTGTTACCAAAGATTTTTGACTGATATTAATTATATACAGCTCCATTTTTTAGCTGCCTTGAAAATGACTACCTCATTGAGATAATATATCATTGAGTTTGGTCTAAGTATTTGCAGTGGTATATATGTTAGCATCCCAGTAATGTTGTAAATGTTGATCTTAGGAAGCTAGATTATTGTTCTACTCATTTTAGCAGTCCTACACATCACAGAGATTATCAACTTCTATTACAGTTTACATATATTTTCCTGACATTTTCAATTGGCCAAAACATTTACTTCCATAAAATGTTTACTATACCATCAACAAAAATGAAGATTTTTTCTCAAGAATGGTTGAACGAGGGCTAAAATAGTCATATATTTTGTTCTTTTTAGGCAAAAAATTATGCTAAGTTTTTTTTCTGGTACAGGAAGCATCGCTGAAAACATTCCACATATCAGATGATCCGAAGAACTACTATGTCTCAGAAGTGACAGATACAGGTAGGTCACACATTAACTGATTCTTTAGTCATTAAAGGGAAAACAACACCAAGATATATGGTAATCCTTAATTGTAATCAGCTGTGATCTCTTACATTCTTGCAGGTTATATGATCAATAGGGCCATCTTTAAAATGATGTTTGTTTGCCCTCTCCCTACTTGAAGTTTAAAAAATTGGGTCGGTAAGAAGGTGGGAATTTTTTTTCAGAAAACTTCCAGTATACATGTTTACAGTATAAGAATATTCAGGGAAAAAATTATCATTTCCTGGAGGTTAAAGAAGTTTTGAGTCAGGC